ACAGTCATCTCAAGTACGGCAACCAAACAAATAGAATTCGAATTAAGACGGACATATAAGAGCAAATGGTTTTGAAATAAAGCAACGTTCACAGGATTGAACGAAAGCACACAGCGTAAAGTACTTACTCGCATAGGATTATAACATTACCGCGCTTGAGATCTCATACCTGCTAAAAAAGGAATGACGAGCACTTGCAGCTGAAAAAAGCCTATCACTTTAATAATTTTCCAGATCTCTTCGAGAGCGGTCGCAGTTTTTACAACCTTTCAATTTAATTCATGTCTTGATAACAGAGTGAAAAAAATTGCGAATTTGTTGGGGGCATGCCTTTCCTATCTTAGTTCTAGACTCAGCGTATAAGAGAAGTGAAATTTAACAGTCTGAAAATTTCTGCTAACACTCGATTTTTGGTCATCATCTTGACCAAAATTGGATCATGTGGTCTTATAAATGCAAGCGACGCAACATCTAGTTGTGAGAGACTGAAAATATATGAGGTGTACCTCTAAATAGTTCAGCTCCTGCGAAGACATGTGCCATAAAAGATCTTTGAACTTCTCAGAGGAAAACAAAGTCTTTACGGATCATAGTATGACTACTCTAGCAGCGGTAGAACGTAGACAAGTGTCTTCGTTGATGGTTCTGAAGACACGCAAATACAATTAAATCTGGCACATGCGGCAGAGACCATCCCTTTCATGTACTTCAAAATTGACGTCATTAGAATGATCGATACCATGGTCTTGCTATAGTTCATTCCAATGTCGTCAAGTCTGAGGGATATAGTAGTAGGAAAGTAATTATGTATTCTTGTTTTGGTTGTTCTAAGAGCTTGAGATTTAGCTTCAGCAAAAATGATGCATAATTTTTCAACAGAAATCTTTAATTCTCACTTCTCAGACCACTCCTCCACAGTATGCAGGGATATTGCATAACACTAGGGAATGCATAACTTATTACCATCCGCATGTACGGAGCATCGTATTTATGAGGAATATATGCAGCAATCCATTCATGTAGATGAAATACAAATCCCGCTCGCTGGTACACAGGATTATTATTGTTTTTTCATTCACTACAAGAAACATAAACGTGCATAGATACAAACAAAAACATTTGGAACATAATCAAAACTATCTTCAAAAGAAGTGTAATTATTACAAGACATCAGTACTAATTGACACAGAATCATGGAGATAACCTACTAGGTTCGTAGGAACGATCTTAGAAACTTCAAGTACACCTTTTAATCCCATAATCCCTTAATCAGAAAGCAGCTTTACTAAAAATATATGTTCAGGGCTCAAATGCCACCACTGACTTTACGGAAAGGCAACTTTGCCGTAATTGTGGCAAAGAGGACCAGGTGTACTTAGTACAGGTGATTTTCCTTGGATAAATCTTTCGCACCAAGTAATTTTTCACTCATGTTTAGGTGCCTCGAGTGTTTCGATACTTGACGGCGGAACTAGCAGCAATGAATATAAAAATTCATTTGGGAATGAATGATTCATCTGAGATAATCAGAGCTTGAATTAGTGTTCAAATTGTTTTTGTTTGTTGTAGCAATGGTTGTCGTAGTATTTAATTTGTAAAGGCGTTGACATAGCGCATGTGAAATCAGTTGTTACTTACAGATGTTGTCATCTCTGGAATTGTTATAGTTGTTGCTTTCATTGTTGAGTTTGTTGTTGAAAAAGATTCAAGGAAATCCATTTTTATTTACTGCTTGTTTCTGAGAATAATACCTATAATCGAGAAAGAAAGTTGATAGAAATATTTTTAAAAAATGGAAGAAAAGTAAAATGTTGTGTCGGGAAGAATGTCTTGTTCGAATTTCGAATTTTCTTTTGTCAACCTTAAATACACAAAGTCAGCTTGTATCGTTGTTTGTCTTAGAGCTAAAAATCACAAGAACCTGCACGATCTTGCTAA